CAGCTACTCAGGAGGCTGAGGCAGGAGAATAGCTTGAACTTGAGAGGTGAAGGTTGCAGTGAGCCGAGATCACGTCACTGCACTCCAGCCTGGGTGACAGAGCAAGACTCTGTCTCAAAAAACAAAACAAACAAAAAAGCAAACACAACAAAAAGGATTGTGTCTTTAAGTTGTTTGTATGCTAGTGAGAGGAGACAGGTAGTAAACATGTGAAAAACAAAAAGGGTGTGTTAACCTTTTAGCTGATGATAGATGCTATGAAGAAATAAGACAGTGGGACAGAGAGAAGGTATTCCCAGGAGCACCACAGGAAAGGCCTGTGGAGATGATATGTAAGTAGAGATCCAGAGAATGAGAAGATGCCTGTCATCTAAGTCAACATGAGAAAAGCTCTCTAGCAAAGGGGATAGCAAGCATGAAATCTCTGAAATAATGATGCTTTCAGTACATTCTAGGAACATGATTCTAGGAATTATGAGCCTGGGGAAGGGTAGTATCAGGTGAAGATGGAGAGAGAGGTGGGAACAGATTGTGTAGGCCTTGTTGGTCATGACAGGGAATTCAGATTTTATTTTTAAGTGCAGCGGAAGCTACTGAAATGTTTCAAACAAGGAAGTGACATGAAACCTGATTTACATTTAAAAGATATCACTCTGGCTATTAAGAATAGAGTGAGGTGGAGGGGAAGAGGGAAGAATAGGGGGGCACAAAGAGACCAGGGAGGATGCCACTACAGTAGCATAGGTGAGAATCTACAGTGGTTTGGATAAGGCTGGAGGCTGTGGAGGAGGAAAATAGATCAGCAGGAGATGCAGTTCAGTTAGCTTTGGTAGCTAGGTGGATAGTAGTGTCACTGATTGATAGGGAATTGAGGAAGTCCAGGTGATGGGGATTAAAAAGCAATAATAGTCTTTATTTTTGACACACATCTTGCTATCTTTTGGATCCTAAGTGCCCGTGTAATATGTAAAGGGAAAGAAATACATTAATAGCAGTTGAATAGATAATAGAAGTCTCAGCTGGAGATATAAAAATTTGAGAGTTGACCAGGAGCGGTGTCTCATGCCTGTAATCTCAGCACTTTGAGAGGCCGAGGCAGGCAGATCATGAGGTCAGGAGTTCAAGACCAGCCTGACTAACATGGTGAAACCCCTTCCCTACTAAAAATACAAAACTTAGCCAGGCGTGGTGGTGTGCCCCTGTAATCCCAGCTACTCAGGAGGCTGAGGCAGGAGAATTGCTT